TCTCTGCCTCTGTGTGTGTGTGCATGTGCACCAACATAAAGTGCACAAGAATGGATATCAGAAATATTCTGCTCTATCATTCACCATATCAACATAGGCATTGCCCTCCTGTATTGTGATGATTCCATGTCTGTAAGGTTGTTATTGAGAAATTGTTCATGTTGCTACTTCAGGGTCTCGCCATTTTATAAGCACAATCTCACACTTGATCAGATACAGAAAAAAAAATTGTCCCTGAGTAAATAAGAGAATGCAAAAAACGCTGTTCAGTATTTCATTCACCTCGGTGCCTGACTTTTGGAAGTAGTTATTCAGAGCTGACCAGCACTCAGTCATGGCCTCCGGGATTTGAAAGGGTCCCAGACAACTTTGCAGGAATCATTTTCACCTTTAGCTGACTGAAAAAAAAAAAAGAGGGGGACAGTAGAAATATTAGGAGCTTGCAATAGTCACAGAGACAGGCATCCCAGGTCTTTCTTGTCAATTTTTCATATTAACCATTTAGACCATTAATGAGAAATTCTGAGTAGGCAGATTTTATTTTCTTGAGATGGGAGCTAGGTTATAAAACACACATCCATCCCAGGATCTGGCCTCTAATAATGTTTGCTTTTACAATCAGTCCTTTCTTATAAATCCGTTAGTGTTTTAACACCATCAGCTGGAGTAGGAGTTTTAGATGTCTGTTAATGGTTCATTAATCAAACTCAAGAGATCATAATCTCTGAAACTTGAGGATGGAAATTTTAATTCTCTTTTGGACTGCTAGTCAGATCTGTGCCAGTGGGAGAAAGTGCTTTCCACTTCACGCTTTCGTTGGCTGACACAGTTTCTGAGGCCATTTGTTAATTATCCCACTTGATACAAAGTCAAATTGACTTAGAATTCTGGCTTTCAACGGAAGGATGTAGAGTTCAATTAATTCATCCTCTGCACACGTTTAAAATAAGCATTTTTAAATGGCTGCTCTCATCTCCCCAGAGGCCCTTTTAGCGAATGGCCTTAAATGTGGGGTCCTGAATGCTTGCCATATTTAACATGCAAGTGTGGCTAGCTCTGTCGGTTTGGGAGATAATCATAGTTTCTGTTTCCTCAGCTTCCTCTGCTGCTATCCAATACTGATTTTGGAGGAGAGTTTGGGCTCAGGGGTTTTATCTGTATGGTCTCACACAGGGGAATAAGTCCAAGCAGCAGAAAGACACCCTCTGGAACCTGCTTTATCTCTGCTTAGGACAGCATGTTAGGCCATACAGGGTTCAGCTTATCACCTGTCCTCACTGATGGAGTTTGTCTTCCAGACATTTGCTCTCAGTATCCAATCCATGTATACTGTGGCCTTTGATTCACCTTCATGTTCTTGTCCACCTGCCCATCTTAGCATCTCTGTACTTTTTACCGTGAAGATCTGCAAAAAATTTGGCCTGCCTTGCCTGTTGTGCATAAGCCCAAGAAAACACTGCCTTGGACTTCTATTCCTGTTTTTGTTACGTTACTTTTAAAAATTTATTTTACCATGTCTTGTAGGTCTATATAAGCGAGTATATACCAAGTTTGTCTTTCTCCTTCTGGGATAGCAGTGTTTCAAAGCAGACACTAAGACTCATAACCAAACCCTCGGCAGAGTGCAGGGAATCATATGAAAGAAGGGAAGTTAGTATGATATGGAAAGGATAGGAGCTCTACAAGGACCAAATATATC